GGGGGGGGGGGGGAATGATGACTATCAAGATGAAAAGCATGTTATTGAAAAGAGGAGGGATGACCATCAATCTTCTCATTCTTCAATATTAATGACAAAATTTCCGACTTACATTGATTCAGGTTTAAATCAGTAGTGAAGTGGTAAAACGGTTTAAGTCCACTTATTTTCCGTTTTGAGTTTTTGAGGAATATTTCCGAATTTAAGGGGGATAGCGAAATTATATTTCGTAATTATATTTTCGTAATTATATTCGTTGTAGCTCTCAATCGGCTCTACAAAAAATTTTGCTATCTCCCTTAGATTCCAATATATTCATTGAAAAATTGTCAATAGTCAAAACTGACTTGTACCGGTTTCCCACTTCGCTACTGAATTGTTCTAATCGAAATTAAAAAATGGTAAAATAATTGATAATCTAAATTTCCAATTGATGATGAATTGAATATTTAATAATATGGAACTGTTAATTTTCTATTAAGTAAATAAAATACTAAATTTTTTATAAGGGATTTTCAATTATCCAAATAATTGTCAATCTTCGTAACTAAATTACTGATTAAGAAATAATTCGGATTCTGAATATTTCAATTGATGATTACTTAAATAATTAAAATTTAAGAGTGACATTAACAAATTGACTACTTAATAATTTAACGGTAATTATAATTTATGGATATGGCTATCCCTGGAAAAGAGAACATTTTCAAACATTTTCAAAAAAATGAAAAAAATTGTTACGAATTTGTTTCAATTGAAATAAGAATAAAAAGATGAGAAATTGATTGGTTTAATGAAAACAATAGGAATACGTTGAGCAGTGAATGAAGTTGAAATCCAAATCAATTATAAATTGATAGAAATTTATTTCTGCTTTATTTACAGGAGAGTTTAAACTAATGGAAAAACCTTAATTATGTGGTCATTAAATATAAGAGAAGATGGAGAGAGTTTTATTCAGTCCAACGATGAGAGCAGTGGACAGAGGTGCAGACGTAATACAGTCTCATTTCCTCCTCAGCTCTTCGTGTCTGTGCCTGGAAAAATACAGCCTCTCGATGATTACACTTGGGACAAGGGTGCTCCTCAGTCCTTGGGAGTGTTGGATCAGAGATAACGTCAGCAACAATATGAGTCAATTCACTGGAAGAAAGGATTAAAGGAACATTAAAATTAATTCATGAAAAGATTGACTGACTTTAAGACAAAATATGGAGAGAACTTTTTACAGAAAATATTATGAACAATAAATAAGCACTTTTGTCACTTTTTTTTAAATGACTTGAAAAATGAGAAAAAATGAAAAATGAAGAAAGTTGTTCACTTTTGAAAAAATTTCTGAACAAAAATTCTCAGGACTTGAAAAAAAAAATAACAGTGAAATAATGATGAAAATAAAAATGAAAAATATTCTTACTCAATTTCGTGCATAATCTTGTTGACGTAAATGCAGTTGCTGTCGGCAAGTTGTTTGTAGTCACAATTTCTGCACTGAAATGTTACAAAATAATCATTACAAATCCGTACGAACTAGTTTTCTGTGTTGGTGATGAAACAAAAAGGTGTGTATGACATTTTTATTCATTATGTAATTGTCTGGGTGATGAGGGCTGCTAGAGCAAAACGCCCAGAGTCCTTCTTTATGGAAGAGAGTAAAAAATAAAATTCTCAACACCAGGATTTAGAATTTCATCTGACAATTTCGATTCAAGGATAGGGTAAAATGGACACTGGCCTATTTTTCAAATATTCATAACTCAGAAATAGATTTATCCCAAGAGCTGAGTCTAGGCTCATCACAAAGGGAATGAATTTAACTTTATTGGAAAAAAATAATTCTATTTCATCAACAATTGAGTAATTTACGTTTTAAAAAAAGTTGGACGTGTCCATAAAACGTCCGATAAAAACGGAAATTATTGCAGGGATACGTTTATGTTCCAGACGTTTTTTAAGGATATCCAAGTACTTTGGCTATTTTTTATCCAGTGAAATGGTTTTCTACTTTCGTAATTGAACGTCAGAGCTTTCATTTGAGCCCCATTTGACCTCAAGTTTCCAGATATTTTACAATTATTTTATTATTTAATCTTTGCAGGTCTGAATTTGAAAATTACGAGCACTGTCTATAAATAATTTATAACCAATCAATTTTCCACTCTAAAAATCATTTTTTCAGAATCGTAACAAATTTATTCACATTCAGAATTTTACCAGAAATCGATCGCATGCCAAAAAAATAAGGTTTCTGAAAATTTAAACAAGTTCAATTATTTATTTACAGACAACGAATTGTTAAAAAAAATAACAACTCTGTGCAAAATATTATTCGTATGCCGCTGAAATATTCATCATTTGATTCCAATTTTTCTCCTGCAATTTAATTGACAAATTTGTTTATTGAAAATGGTCAATCAAATCAATAGTGTGGTCTGTACCAAATAGTAAAAGATACTTGGATATCCTTAAATAATTTTTTTAGTACTCCAGCATTCATAAAAAATAAATAAATTATAAATTATTGCAGACATTATTCTTCAAATCTTCAACCCTCCAATTCCATTTTCATTCCTCCTCATCACGTTCCTTTACTTCACGAAAAACAATTAAAAAACATGAAAAAACCAAGTGAGAAACCAAATAATAAACAGCTTTCGAATCCCCAAAATTTCGAGGTTATCCCTCTACAAAAATACTCACAGCATACATCAGCACTTTATTCTCCTTGTCCTCCTTGGGATACAACATATTATTGCACTCCTGGCAGAACCTGATCCCCACGAACCCAGGTCCATCATTATGTGTATCGTACCCAGCCATGCTCCTTCACGTTTCAACAAACAATAAAAAATCCTTTCCGACGCCGCCACAAAACATTGACCATGAATTCCCGGGATCGATCACGCCATCTCCGCCAATCCGCGCGCTCCCCCCGAAATCCCGTCCGCCCATTGGCCAGAATTAAAATTCCCTAGGCCCTCAAAAACCGGAAGTAAACACATTGTAAATCCGCCATATTCACTTCTCCCCCCCCTAAACATTCTAAACCCCCTTGAACCCTCTCGACCCTCAAAAAATCCTCCCTCACCCCCCCAACCACCCGGCCACCGCAAAAACCCCCCGAAACCCTCCAAAAACCCCTCAAAACCCTCCCAAAACCCCTTTTTTCCACAAACCGCTTGAAAAAAAATTCTGCGCACTGCGACTGCGCACTGCAAACCCAACTACGACATAATTACAACAATAATAAATATAATATCGAGCGAAATAATTAATCACCACGTTCCGCTCCACCTCGAAGGGCCGCCAACGCGTGTGCTCCCGCATCTAACCTCTCTAACCTTAAAAAAAAATAAACAAAACAAGGTAAAAAGTGGAGAAAAAGGCGCTGGGAAAAAATCGAAAAATCCTCAAAATAAATAAAACCCAACAGTGCCGTTCCATTCGCAGCCCCCAACACCCCCCATTTTCCCCCATAATTTCTTCTCCCCTCCACCATTACCAACCCCCCACCCCAAAAATCGACGAATCGAGTCTGCTCCCCTAGAGCTAGTGCAAATCTCGGCGGATGCATGTTTTCTTAAGGGATTCTTACCGACGACGAACGACTAAAATTCGACGCGTACCATTTTACAACAATTTTCCGCAGTGTTAGTCATTGTTAACCACCGAGTGTTGCCCCAAAAGTACGTATTAACAGTAAAAAAATAAATAATACTTCTAAAACATGAGTGATACCCAGTGATTAAACGTTTCGAGGTAAAATGGATGTGAAATAATTTTCATTTCTCATCGTCTGGTGAATAACATAAAAATAATAAAATTGTGGGTGCTCAAAGGCGGTCCCCCCCCCCCACACACACACACACGCACATCAATGGGGTGATGGTCCTCAGACAAGCGTCTCCACACAGAGATTAATAATTAGTTTAATGTTCGCATCGCGAGGGATTTTTCCCTCGACAAAATCATTGAGTTTGGCATTGTCATCGATTCGATGAAAAACCGGAAAAATTCATCATTGTTTGGTTAACCTGTTAGCGTCCGTGTTGGCCAGTGCCGACACGTGATTTTCGAAAAGTGTTGTAGCGCTTTCGAACGCGTGGGTTTCTCTCTGTCTCTGTCACCTTCGTGTTACACGCGCTGGCATTTTCCTCGTTTCTGCTTTTTTTTTCGATAATAATACATCGTACAACAATTTGCCGATTTCGTCGGAATATTCTGGAGTTCTGGGGGTTCTCAAAAGCCCTCGGCGTCAATTCGCTCGCTTCGTTCCCTGATTATTCATAACGTTGATTATTGTTTGTCCCTTTGTCCGCAAAACTGCCTGCAAACACTCCTCATACTCGATTCATTTTTATTTATTCATTTTTCGTACTTCTCGATGGGGCTTTCAAGGTCTACTCAGTCCCTTCTGTTTTTCGGTTTCTCTCGCTCCTCTCGGCTATTTCATTCGCATTCTCTTTGTTTAAATATCGTCATTCGTCATAGTTTACCGACGCCGACTCAACATCGAAATCCCGTCGTATTTTTTTATTCTTAATTTATTCTCCTGCTCGATAGCAAGCGGTAATGGAGGCTTTTTTTTCTCTCGCTTCTTTTTTCGGCTCTCGGCCGTTAGTTTTTTGTATGTGTAGTTTATTTCATTTTGTACACACATAGATTTTGCCATTTGACGCTGTTATGAGTGTGTTGTTTTTTCGGTGGAGGGGAACGAGCGGGGGGGCAGCCTAGGGGAGAGAATGAGGGAAGGGAGGGGGAATAAGGAGAGCTTGGTATGGTTGCCCCTCAACACATTCTAATTCAGCCAAACGGCGCTCTCCTCGCGTGAACCCGTGGTGGCTTTTCGGGTGTATTTTATTGTTAATGGAAGATTCTCATGCCGTGACAGCCATGTTGTAAATTCACCGATGCCTTTAGATTTTTTTTGAATTAATTTTTTTTTTGTGGTATTGAATGTTTAGGATTGGTTTTTCGGTTTTTGGTTTTTCAAGCCGGTGGAGAGACTTGTGGGGTGCTGTGGAGGGATTTTTGAGGTGATTTATTTTTTTTTCTTTTTTCGGCGGTTTTGGGGGGTAATTGTGGGGGTCGGGGGAGGGCTGGAGCACATGGTTGGGAGGGAGGGGGAGGTTTTGGGTTTGTTTGGGGTTTTTTGAGGGGGGGGACGTGTGGGGGCGAGGGGGTTGTTTGGTGATTTTTATGGGGAGGGCTGGAGGACAAGTTCAGGGTTGCGTGGGAGTTGGGGGGGTTTTGCGATTGGGGAGGGACAGCCATGTTGTAAATTTAGTCGGGGTTTGGGGTTTATAATTTTTTTGAAGGGGTTGAGGGTTTTTGAGCATTTTTGTTGAGTTGAAGAATGTTTAACTTTTTGGGGTGGGTTTTGGGTTGAGTCTCTTGGGGTTATTGGAAACTCTGGTGCATTTTTTGCAGCGTAAGGTTTTTTACTGGAGGAATTTCTGGGTTTGAAGATGAAAGTTTGAGGGGTTTTCAAGCACATGTTTGAAGGTTTTGACTCAATTGTTTAAGACATCAACGGAAATTTATAAGGATTCTAACTGATGTTTTTTTCATGAAGTTTGACTCGTGAGGGGTTCGAGTTTGAATTGTTGGGGTAATTTGTTTTTTTTTATTTAGGGAGGTTTTAGGTTTTGCAGAAGTTTTTTACAGTAGGAATTTCTGGGTTTGAAGATGAAAGTTTGAGGGTTTTTCAAGCACATGTTTGAAGGTTTTGACTCAATTGTTTAAAACATGAATGGAAATTTATAAGGATTTTAACTGATGTTTTTTTCATGAAGTTTGAATCGTGAGGGGTTCGAATTTGAATTGTTGGGGTAATTTTTTTTTTATTTTGGGAGGTGTTAGGTTTTGCAGAAGTTTTTTACAGTGGGAATTTCGGGGTTTGAAGATGAAAGTTTGAGGGGTTTTGAAGCACATATTTGAAGGTTTTGACTCAATTGTTTAAGACCACTGGAAATTTATAAGGATTTTAACTGATGTTTTTTTCATGAAGTTTGACTCGTGAGGGGTTCGAGTTTGAATTGTTGGGGTAATTTTATTTTTATTTTGGGAGGTGTTAGGTTTTGCAGAAGTTTTTTACAGTAGGAATTTCGGGGTTTGAAGATGAAAGTTTGAAGGTTTTTCAAGAACATATTTGAAGGTTTTGACTCAATTGTTTAAAACATGAGTGGAAATTTATAAGGATTTTAATTGATGTTTTTTTCATGCAGTTTGAATCGTGAGGGGTTCGAGTTTGAATTGTTGAGGTAATTTGTTTTTTTTTTATTTAGGGAGGTTTTAGGTTTTGGGACTTGTGTTTGGGTGTGGAGGGAATTTTTGGAGTACATGTTTGGGGTTTTTATAACATTCGAGGGATGATTGAGGATTTTTGAGTATTTTCATTCAGTCGAAGAATATTTAATATTTTGGGGTGGGTTTTTTAAATTGTTTGGAGTTATTGAATTATTGCGGAGCAGAAGGTTTTTCATTGAAAAAATACTCTGGGGATCGGGGGTTTCTGGTTGGATATGGAGCGACTTTTCGGAGCATATGTTGAAATATTTTTATTATATTGTTCAAAGGCTAATCCAGGATTTTTCATCATTTTATGAGTGTTGAGTTAGAAGTTTTTATTCACGTTTTGGAGTTTTTAGGGTTTTGAAAATGAAAACTTGAGAGTTTTTTAAGCACACGTTCAAAGATTTCGATTCAATTGTTCAGGACATTAATGAGGATCTTTAATAATATTATTTGATTTTTCAAGATTCAACAAGATTTATTAACATGGATAGATATTTACAAATAAGACAAGACAACAATATGGTACAAGTTTATACATAGACGATTGATTGGTATAGTATCAGCCCGGAGGCTACAACATATATATAATATGAGGGGTGAGAAATGGGTTGACAATATGAGGGATGGGGATAGGGAAAATTTTTTATATTAAAAAACCCTATTACAATTTTATTTGATGATTTTTTTGTCATGAATTTTCAGTTGAGGATTTTGGAGGGAATTCAGTATCGTGATCTTGGGGGGAAGAATCTCTACGATTCAGTGATGGGTTTAGGTTTGAATTGAAATTTTAGACACACGTTTGGACATTTTCATTACATTGTTCAAAGCATAATTGAGGATTTTTCATTGTTTTAAATGTTGAGTCGAAGAATATTTCCTATTCAATGATGGGTTCCACGGTTTGCATTGTCTGGAGTCATTGGGAATTATTCGTGTTTCGGATTATAAATTTTTTCATTGACAGAATTTTTAAAATTTGGGTTTTGAAGATAGAAGTTTGAGAGTTTTTCGAGCGCACGTTCAAAGGTTTTGATTTCATTGTTTACAAAACCGACGATATTCAGTAATTTCATTCCATAATCTTCTTTTCTCAGGAAATTTAGAGATAAGTTTTTATACTGAAAGGATATTCTGAGGTGCGAAGGTTGAGCATTAAGAGTTTCTGTTTAGCCACGAGGAGGATCGGGAGGGAATTTTTCGAGTACATGTTTGGAGATTTGAAGTGAATTGTTCAAGACACAATCGAAGATATTTATAATTTCATTCGGTGATTCTGTTCTTCAATGGATTCCAAGGTTTTCTGACGGGACGTCCGTGATCTTGATGTTGAATTGAATATTCATTACTCAATGATGAAGTTCGTTTTGAATTATTTGGAATAATTTGGAGTTTCGGTTTACGAAGCTTTAGAGTTTGAATATTTTTTCGCTAGAGGACGATCTTGCCTTTTAATTATTAGGAAATTGCCAATTTTTTTAGGTGCGAAGTAGATGGAGAACAGATTATTGGAGCCCATGTCCGAAAATTTTTATTCAACTCGAAACAATTTAATTTAGCTGTTGAATTTTGTCGTCAATTCTATTTGATAATTTTTCAGAACGAATTTTTGATGGTTTTGGAGGGGATATTCAGGGTCATGTTGATTTGGAGCACATTGATTCAGTCACTTCACCTAATTTATTAATCATCCAATTATACATTAGCGACCACGTGGGATGCCCTGAACTTCTCATATAATTCATTAATTTATTTCAATTTTGTTATTTTACTTTGTTCAACAGTTTGGGATTAAGAGTGACGAGCAAATATTGAGGAGTTTGATTGAGTTCTGGAGTGTTTTATTAATTGATGGGTAATTAAGACTTTTTTTATTAATTTATGAGGTGGTTTGGGAAAAGGTTGAGGTAGCACATCATTAACAAAATTTCATTGTTTTTGTCAAGAGTTTTGGAGTATGAATGCTTGTTGTTGAGTAATATTTCCGGTAGTTTCGAATTTTGGAAATATCTCTGAAGCTAGTTATCGAAAAAAGTGAAGTTATTTTTTTGTCATCCCCTGGACAATGATTACGTAGTTATCAAATATTTTCCAATTTCAATTTTTCCATTTTTGTCAACAAATTTTGTGATTTTATTTTTTTATGATTATATTTTTTTGCCTTTTTTCTAGTCCCTCCTTCGAGAGATATTTCCAAAAGATAAATCTTTAGAATTATTTTGTACCTGCACGGAGAAAAAAATCTTTTATTCAAAGACACGTCTTTACAACAAATACATGAGAAATTGGTACAAAAATGTCAAAGGCGTGTTCACTTTGAAATATCCCCGTATTTCTCTCAATATTTCCTGTACACAGAGAAAAAAGTTGGAGAAAAATTACCAAACAAGTCAAGTAATCGTGGAGCGAAATCCATTTCTAGGTCTTTTTTACTTCAGCTCGAGGCAAAAAGTGTAAGACAAATAGTGAATTTTTCTGCTGAGTTGGGAAAATTTATTAAACGTGAGGGTAATTTGTCCCGAAACTGTGAAATGTACCATTTATTCCATCAAAAATCAGTAGCGAAGCGGTGAAACGGTTCAAGTCGATTTTCACTATTGGTCAGTTTTCAAGGAATATCTCGAAATCCAATGGAAATAGCAAAATTTTTGTCACGACCTTTTTTATAGCTCTCAATTCGCTCTATAAAAAAGGTCCTTACAAAAATTTCGATATCTCTTACACCGCTAGAAAATTTCTCTTGAAATTTCAAGTGAAACCTTGAAAATTCTGAATATTCAGGCAACAATTGTTAACTTTTCTCAATTCTCAATCTATGGAAAATTGAATTGTATGTAATATTCAATTTTCACGCTGAGTTTGGAAATTCAAGCTTTCATGGAAAAATAAATAATTGTTTAACATGAAAAATCAAATGTTCTTGAATTTTCAAGATAAATGAAAAATTTAGTGAATGTTTTTATTCGAAATTGAATTCAATGATGCCGCTGCGACCGAAATTTCACGAAATTCCTAACAGTATACTGTATACCATACAAATCGTACCTTTCGCAAAAGTATTTTTTATTGAATTACAATTTCGCTTCACGATTGCCTCCAGTTAAATTTGCCCCGATTTTCTAGATATTTTTAATCCAACTTTTCTCTCCGTGCAGATGGTGATTGAGAGAATGCCGATACCCTGGCCATTAATTGTTTCAATTCGATGATTGATATTGTAGATTACCTTGAGGATCCAGACTCGGCCGAAAGTACCATGGAGACAGGTAGCAATTTGCCCGCAGCGGGCAATTACCCGGTTGGCAATCGTCAGCAATTCTGTGTATCCTGGAACTCCCATCAGTCTAATATGCACAGTGCATTTCCAAAGTTACTCAGCTCAGAGCAGTTTGTCGATGTGACACTTGCCTGCGATGGTGGCTCGATAAAGTGCCACAAAGTCGTACTGTCAGCGTGCAGTGATTACCTGGAGAGACTACTCCTGGAGATACCCTGCACTCATCCCATCATATTCCTCAGGGATATGCGTATGTGGGAGCTACAGGCTCTGGTTGAATTCATGTATCGGGGTGAGGTCTACGTCGAGGAGCAGCAACTCACTAGGCTCATGCAAGCTGCTGAGGCACTTCAGGTAATTTTTAAACAGAACATTTTGTCAAAATATATTTTTCATTCATTTTTGCTTCCATCCAGAAGCAAAAATGAATGAAAAATATATTTTTGAAAATTCTTTCGTTTTTGTGATCTTGGGTGGAAATGCGTAGAAATGTCATGAAACATGAAGAAATTAAACATAATTGAAGACATTAAACATAATTTTTAAAAAAATAACTAAAAATAAAAATTAAAAATGTCACGAAACATGAAGAAATTAAACATAAGTTCTTCATGTTTCGTGACATTTTTCCTTAATAACATTTAAGAAATGTTTGTGGGTAAAGTAAATGATACAGTTTCTGGTCAGGAGTACCTGATTTTTTGTCCGCATTTTTGGACACCCAAAAAAACTTTAAAACAAGCAATTTTGAGGCTTATAATCTCAAATTGAGACTTGTAAACGTCTCGAATTGAGATTTTCAAATGTTTTAAGTTAAGACTTTCAAAGGTCTCAATCTGAAACTTTCAAGGATATCCAAGATACTTGAAAGTTTGGTACAGACCACATTATACATTTAGCCATTTTCAATCATCAAATTTGGCAATTAAATTGCGTGTGAAAATTTTTGAAAAAAGTCAAGAATTTTCGACGTTATTAAAATTACATTTTGCACAGAATTATTATTTTTTCAAACATTCATGGTTTATAAATAAATTATTTGAAATTGTTTATACTTTCGGAATTGTTTAAATTTTCGGATTCTTACGGTGGAAAATTGATTGTTTATAAATTATTTGTAGAAAATGCTCGTAATTTTAAAAAATCGCACTTTTTAAATTATTTTATGAATCTTCCTCCAAAAGTAAAATTTCTATTTTTTTCAGATTCATAAAATATTTTTCGATGGGACCCATAACCCACGTTCGACTATGCCTCGCGTGTTAGAGCCCGCATTTCATTATTTAATATATCCTAAACTGTGTAGTACAGCTCGTTAGATGTTTTTTCAATAGCTGGGGAATTGTAGGAACATTATCTATGAAAAACATGGAGACAATCGTAAGAAAAACCTGTTTTCTAGGGATATACAAAAAGTTGAACAAAAAAATTAAGATAGATAGATAAAGATAGTTAGATGGCAAGTAAAGAGTTTCAAACGCCTCAGGTTGAGACTTTCCGAAGTTGAGACTTTCAGAACTCAGCTGGAAGAAAAATTTAAGTTGAGTTCCGAAAGTCTTAATTTCAGGCATTCAAAAGTCCCAACATAAAACTGATTATCTCAAATTAATACCTTCCAAAGTCTCAACATGAGCTTAAATTGGGATCTCCAAGCCTCAAGTTGAGACTCTTGAAACTCTCAATTTGAAGCGTTGAGAGTAGTCAAGATTCAAATTAAGACTTTTGAAAATCTCATTCTAAGGCCTTTAAAATCTTGAAATAAGGCATTATATTTTTGGGTGGAGCCCCTGTCAATTCTTTCATATCGAATGTCATATTTTTGATTTTTTATCAACCGTGAAAAAAATGCTGCCGACTCTTTTGGCCTTGCGTTTTGACATGGAACTGCTAAATATCTTTTCTCATTTTCTCCCAATGTTCTACTTTCGGCCCTAATCCTATTTTCCACGTGGGTGTCAATTAGAAAAAAATATCAACTGACCAATGAACGAACAATTCATCCACTTTATTAGTTTCGATTGAGCTTAATTGATAAACTAATCTTTTTAATTGATAAATTTATCTCTGACTTATAAAAATTGAAAAAAGCATTCAAAAGTGGAGTCAAATCAATTATATCATTCAAAAAAACCTCATAACTATCATGAAATTGCGAGATTTTTCATCTCAGCAGGAGTTGCCGTTAACAAAATGGCGTCAAATCGTCTCATTTAATGCAACAACAGTAATAGTTGTCAGTATTAGGCTTATGAAGAACTTGAAACCATTGAAAGATTTCAAATTGTCAATTTTTGCCATTCTCCCTCAACCGTCGATGTACACTGACCCATTAATCTCAGATTTTTCTAGCCTAAAAGGTTCCCACGTGCCCTCATTATAATTTAGGCTGTAAAATTTGGGATCAATTCATCGAGTAAAGGGTCGCCTCTATTACTATTGATCGGCGCATGTATATTTTCTGAACGATGAACTTTCCTGGAGCATTCTTGAGACTTCTTTTACCGCTGTAGATTGTTATTAACAATATCAACAATTTTTTTGCATTGAACCACGTGCTCTCGTGGGCAATGGGCGGGTGCCCATTAGCGTTAAAACCATTGCTCCCACGATTGCTCATATTATTTCATAAGTGAATAGTGCTTTCATTGCCTGAAAAAATTATTTGTTCTCCTCCTTCGCTAAATTTAAATGTATTCTGCAATCGAAAAATTTGGGATAATTTGACGAAAAAAATATTCGTGACTTTGTTAATATAGCGAAAACTTACATCAGATAATGGCGGAAGTACAGAGATCTCACTTACCTTCTGCGTTTGATGACCCCCGAAATCCAAATGATATAACTACTTCTCTTGGTTCACTCGTGTGTCAACAAAACACACTTAATGACTCATAATTTTTTATCCCAATTGTTGCGAAATATCTAGTACTGTCAAAGGTAAAATCTAGTTAGAAACTTAAGACTCGGTAGGATTTTAAGAGGTAGGACTTTAGGTAGGACCACGAACGAAAAAATTTAATAGAAAAACCTACCGAATTCGTCAGAAAATTCTATTGAATTTCTATTGAACTGTTCTATTAGTTTTTGGCCGATTCTATTGAATGTTCAATAGAAAATATTCAGTAGAAAACGTCAATAAAATTCAATTTTTCTATGTAACTTATTCTATTGAGATATTTTCTATAGAATTTTCTCGGCTCAAATTTTCTAAGTTTTTTCGTTTGATTTTTTTGATGAGAAGAAAATAAAAATAGAATGAAAAAAACTCAGAAGATTTGAGTCGAGCAAATTCTGTAGAAAATATATGAAAAGAATCAGTCCTTCCAAGAATAAAAAAAAAGTTAATAAACAAAAGTTAATAAAAAAAATATTCAATAAAAAAAATTTTGCTTGAAATGCGTCAAACAGTCATTTCTCGACACTTTAATTTTATCCCACTTTCCGCTACAATGAAATTTCCACCGTAAAAATCATTTGTTCGGAATCGTAACATATTTATTCATATTCATAATTTTACCAGAAATCAATTTCATGTTAAAAAAACTAGGTTTCCGAATGTTTAAATAATTTCAATTATTTCTTTATAAACACTGAATGTTTAAAAAAATAATTCTGTGCAAAATGTAATTTGAATAGCGCTGATTTCATGTGTGTTGAATTCATGATTTTTTTTCAAATTTCTCTCACGCGATTTAATTGCCAAATTTGATGATTGAAAATTGTTAAATCAGTTTTTAAAAAATCAATTTTTTTAAAATCTTTACGATTTTGAATAAACGTTCCTAATGTTTAATAACCCGACGTAAATGAATTAAGCAATTCATACCAACAAAATTCTCGAAATCCCTCGAATATTGAAGATATAAATTATTGCGAATGGTCCAGGTGCGTGGATTGTCATCCCAAGGACGAGAAGCAGCCCAAGGAGAGAGTCCAACAGCCCAGAGTTCCTCGAGCACCCCATCAACTCCATCATCACCTTCGAAGCAGACTCAACCCAGCTACAAGAACGACGAGACCCCGGCCATGAATTCCACCGACTCCTTCCTCGACACTCCCGCCACTGTAACACCAGCCACGATAAATAATGCATCAGTAACAGGTACCCAGAACAACTCAACAGCCGCAAACAGCTCAACATTCATGAACATTGAGCACACCGAGGCACTACAGCATCTGGAAAAGGCACTGAGCTCATGCGAGGCCACACTGACAGAAACACCTGGAATGGTGAAGATGGAACCAGATGAACAATTCACGCAGCAGGACAAGCCTTATTCGATTAGTATGGTACCAACGAGCAATTCAAATTGCAGCAATCCAAGCAGCCCTTTCCCAGCTATTGAAGGTGAATAATTTTTTCTATCCAATTTGTTCCATTTATTTTATATTTTCACTTTATGTGCATAACAGTTGATAATGACAAGAGAAAAGTCAGTTTGTGCTTTGATTTTATCAGGCGAGCATAAAGAATAAAGATCATTGAATTTGTTTTATTATTTAGAATCAAATGAAAAGAGTATTAAGGTCCGGGTGGATTACCTTTTGAACGAGATCTTGGTTATTTTATTTATTTTGATAATCTGAAATGATCTCCAATTGCTATTCAGTTTTACATAGCCCTGAAGTCTTCAAAAATGATGATTGTACAATCAAAAAAATGTTGAAAAAAAGCTGAACACTTTCAAAGAGCATTTTTGAATAATATTGGGAAATAAACCCAATAGGGCGGAAATTGCAAATTAGTAATTTGATGTATCTAATGGCTGTCAGATAGTTAGTTACCATGATAAATTATCCATTCACTATTTCCTCTCTATCGGACTGATTACTTAATTGAAAATGTTCCGTTTTTTTTCTACTTTTTTTGATTGTACAATCATTATTTTTAGGAATTCCTTCGTGATGTAAAATCCAATGGAGATTGTGATATATTTTACATTATGAAGATTGAAAAACAATCGAGATAACATTCGAAAGACAATCCACAGGGGCCTTAAATAAATGGAATGACATTCATTGCAAATTCCCACAAGAAGTCATTTTGTACTTTGGTTTTATCAGGCGAGCATAAAAAATAAAGATCATTGAATTTGTTTTATTATTTAGAATGAAATGAAAAGATTAGTATTAAATGAAAAAAAAATGCATAAATAAATGAAAGGAGTTGCTTGGGAATTGCTCTCAACGACTGAATAGTTTGACTGGACATTGAGTATGTCAAGAGCCTGATGAAGCTAACAATAACCATAATTAGACAGACATGATAGACAAATTGAAAAATTGTCTGCAATTTCATTCTTCAAAAATGAGTGAATTTGGATGTGATTGTGGTCGTTGGATTTCTCTTCAAAAAAGCTACTTGTAGGGGTGAAAAATTGAGTTCCCTATGACGATTTCGACAACTATTCACGCAGCATCGAGGCAAATTTGCCCCAAAAAAGCTGAAACTTTTGCCTGAAACGTTTTTTGATCAGATGACCGCTTACCAAGATGTTTGACTGTGACTTTTAATTTGGGACGTTCTGTATATCTTACCCCATACACCTCTAGTTCAAGTTTTACTGAACCGATTTTTCCCAACCGATTTTTCTCTTCATGTAATCGCCATAATTCGCCCCCAACAAATCACTAAAAAATTATTTGTTTGAGTCTCAACGACGAAAGAACCTGATCATTAATTATTAATTATAAAAATTGCAGGATATCAAAGACGACAGCGTCGCTCCGAGGCTGAACTCAAGCAGGCATCTGACATGGTGGCCCGTGGCATGACGTTTCAAGTTGCTTCCGAAAAATACAACATTCCGATCAGTACCATACGCTTCTACATGGTCAGAAAGGGTATCTTACAGAGGCGAAAACGTGGTCGTGGCTCGAGTAACGTAGGTGCGTCCAACAGTCAGCCCGGTAGTCCAGCGAGTCCACCGTTTCACATGATGAATTATCGTTTGCCCGAGAGCCTGAACTCGAGTCTCCAGTAGTCAAGTTTCTCCCAAAAATTTACCAACAGAATGAATTACTCTAAGAAAAACTCAACCAGAGTTTTTTTTTTGTTTTCCAATGAAAGATATACAAAGAGGAAAATGAAGGGAAAAATCGATGAAACGAGGATTTAATTAAGCCATTAATTGTCTAATTAATTGATTAAATGATTAATTAACGAAAAAAATAATAATTGTGAAAAAATTGAGTTTTACACTCGAATGGTTCATTACTCGACTCGAGTCCAGGTTTATCACCAAAAATCTCACAGGCTCACGATAAAAAAACGTCGGACAATGTCTAAAACACTTCCATCCCGTAAAAAAATAAACGACAAAATAATTGATATAAAATTAATAATAATTAGCAACGTAATACGAATTATTGTATAGAAAACACTTGTTTGAACGCATAATCCGGTTTAATCGACGCGGTGTGTGTGTGTGTGTGTAGCGGATTTTTTTCATTTTCATTATTATTATGAATTTTAGAGGGTCCGTGTGCGATTGTTACAATTATTATTTCTCATTTTTTCATTTTTTCTTTTTTAAGTTAACAAACGCGTTTGATGAGATTATTTTGTATTCGAGTGGGACTGGGGCTTGGGAATTACCTCATGTCAGGTATGATGAGGCCCAAAGTGCACCCCAAAATGACTTAATTGTCGATGATTTTTTTTTAATTATTTAATTTAAAAAAGAAAATTCATCGATAGTTTTATAAAGAGATTAGCATTAGGTTCTTGCGACTTTTTTACCTCCCATTTTGAGTACTTCTAGAGTTATTGATGATTGTTCATGCTCATTATTGAAGTAATTAGTATTTTATTTGATTGGTTTAGTGATTCAGGTGGGCAGTGGTGGGGTGAGGTGAAAAAATTTTTTGTGGGAACATTTTTTGGGGAGAAAATGGAGAACTGCAGGAAAGGGTTTTATCAAAATTTTGTCGTCTCCATTATATTGAGAGATGTTAATCAAAAACTGAGATGAGTTGCTTGAATTTACAAAATCAACAAAAGAGATTCCTACAATTATTTTGCTATCTCTATTAGGGCCCAACAGATTTGTAACAATCTTAAAAAAAATTTGATTCCACTTCGAAAATAAGTTTGCAACAACTGTCTCCAAATTCTTATTGAATTTCGCCAGTTATTTAATTATTATTAATCGATTATTATCATTTCGGGCCATTTTCGGTTATTTATAAAAATCAAATGCTCGTGCTCCTTTTTTTCATTTATTAGGGTTGATTAATTGTCATCAAATGCAATTTTTTGTAGATCTATAGTACAACATATTTACGAAAAACGGAAAAATATTGAATATTTAAGCTTCACAAATAGCTTTCCCCTAAATATTTTGAAATCTAAATGAGATATTAAAATTTTCTCAACAAAAAAGGTTTTCACGTGAAAAATTGTTATCAAAACAACATTAATTCCCCCTCATTTCACCGGTAAATCACCTGATTCAATAATAACAATGACTGGGCCCTCTTATAATTAAAAAATGAAGCTCTAAAAGTCAATGAATATATTGAAGAGTCCACACACCTGTGTACATCGCGAATACTCTGATAATAATCATGACCTAGTGTAAAACGCTTTTACGTGTTTAGTGTACAAATTAAATGAGAATGAAAAAAACCAACAAAACTAGTAGATGAACGATATGAAAATGAAAGAGAAAACAATTCGTGCGGTGTCACACTTTGTTACATAGCATTTCAGAGGCCATATTTTTTCATGCAATGCAATAATCGAGAACAAAATAGTTATTTAAATTAAAGATAATGGGAAAATGGAAGAAATTAACAGACAGCACGAATACCTCTACATGAAGATATTTTTTTTTCCTTTCGAATGGCACTACGATTATACGTAAACACCAATGATCATTAATTATTTGATGATTTCACAAACTGATCTTTTACCAGTATTTTCAATTAATGAAGCGAATGATGAAAAAAAACCAATGCAGAATAATTTTCTACGGATTTATCTTGATGGCCTTTACTCAGTCTAGTATTTTTATCTTTTTTTCCTTCTTTTTTTAGCATTCTATTCGAATTACTGTCCTTGGGAGACAGGCTTTCTTCGGTGAAGAAAGCCCAGGGCCTCATCGTTATCATTCAGTAATTTTTCAACCTATTTACCTCTTCACCCTCTTGATTTTGGTTAGTTTAGATGAGTTGAGGCAGATCGTATTTAATTTTTTTTTTCGAATTGGTAACTCGTCGGATGATCCTTGATGACTGCGATTAGTCATCGTGTATTGTAGATAGAATTTTTTTCGCTGGAGATTATGTGGATTTTGGTAATGGGGAAGATAACCGGAAATGAAGGGGTAGAATTCAACAGAACGAGCTGGTTTATAACTCTTGTTATCTGATTTTGAATTATTCATTTCTGGATTAAAAATTGAATGTTCGTGATGATTTTTTTTGTTCGTTAAGATTCTGAAATCATTTCTTTGATGATTAATTTTCTTGGGGGGATTTTTCAGTCGTGAGAGAGCAGGGGAAAACTAGACAAGTCATGAGGTTTTTTTTACTTAATTTTTTCAACTCAGTAACAAGTCAAGGGGAAAATTCACGACAAGAAATGGCGTTTCAACATCAATTCAAGCAAAATTTTCGTGCAATTACGCATTTTCTCCCAATAATGGATAGGTGCAGAGAAAATATCGTGAGACATTTTCTTGAAAGGGAAATAAAAGTCCCACAGATGATGTCTCTTCAAATATTCACAGGATAAATCCCATAAATAATGTTTCTTAACATTCCCAAAGCCGAGAATTCTCAGTCATTGTTAATTCTCCGTTAATTACGCATTTATCTCCGTAATTATCGGTTTTAGGGGAAAATGTTAGAAGATCATTTTTATAGAGGATGGAATTCCCCACAAAAAAAGTCCTGTAACACTTTCCTCTAAATCCAGTCATTACTGGGGTAAATCGGCGCGAAGTTCAGCTATTTCACTCTCACTGAATTCACGTTACTTCACTTGAACCTAAAATTTATTTCTCGCTCAAATAAAATCCACAATCTCCAGCATCTCAAGAAAAACAACCCATACACTGTGGTTTATTTATATGACTCTACGAAAATGATTCAAATTACTCTTACTCGTGGAATTCCCGTCGTTTCGTTGGAATCGTCTGAATATGTACTGTTTTCTCCTACTTTTTTTTACACATTTTTTTTATTTGTATTATTTCCTAGGAGGCTTTTTGTTCCTCTAACAAAGAGGCGACACTTCGCACTGAACAAAGAGCAAAAACTATAGATAATAAAAGGATGAAAGTGCACATGTTAAACCCTCACACATGAAGGAGAACACTTAAGAACTCTATTAAAATTTTTCTCATATTTTTTTTCCAAATACTAGACTTTTTTTGTTCGCTGAGAAAGTAAGAAAACCCAATTACTCAATTACTCAATTACTGTGTCAGTGAATTTTATATAGGGAGTTAGACACTAATAGTTATTAAATACAGATCGTGTCTGTAGTGAAAGTCTTCGAATAGCCTGACAGTTGAATTTTTTTCTGAAATGTACAGTTACATAAATGATTAAAAATTGATGAATATTCAGTCTAATAGAGATAAGTCAATTTCGTATAGTTTATTTTGAGGATATCTAGTTGAATAATGGGTTTGGATGGATAATTCAGAAGAATTTTCCCCTAAAATCCCTCATTACTGAGATAATTGCCTGATTTTCTTCTGGAAAAAGCAAGTTTTTTAACTCACTTTCTCAATTATGCATTTATCTCAGTAATTAGTGGATTTAGGAAAAAATGTCAGAACATCTTTTTTGCGGAGGAGGAAATTTTCTACAAAAAATCTTTCTTGACATTTTTCGATAAACCCCTTTGTTCCAGAGATATTCGCGAAATAACCCTCGATGAAGATCATATGAATCCAAAAATGTCTTTAACTCGCGAGAGAATCATCTCCAATCTTCCAGTCTAATTGTTGAATTAATCAGACAACTGAAGAACACAAATTCGTTAATCTCGCGACAACCCAAGTATTTTCGTTCGATTAAAAAAATTAATGGAGGAAAAAGTTAGAAGCGAAATTAATGAAATTAAAATAAACATTTAATTAAAGAACATAAATCGTGTTTTAAGGATATATTACTTTTAATTTTAAGATGATGTAAGATGTGTTAGTGAAGCATGCTTCTAATTAGTGAATAGGACAGCGCTATAAACAATAATTACGATAAAGATGAAAAAAACCACAAAAAACAAAAAAATTATGATTCATAAGGCATTTCAATAAGTGCAGAGTATTTCTTAATAAAAATTAATTCTAAAATCGACCAAAATTTTTCGTTTTTATTATTATTTCCGTTACATTTTTTTTTACATATACTTTTTTTTTATTTGGCACCAACACTGTGTGACTGATGGGTGATTGGTCGGGCTTTAAGCGTCACAAATGACAACACAAACATGTGATACTGCGCAGCGGATACACAAACACGACGCACGTTTTCAATGATTACTGTGGAAATACCAGTATCCGAACGAGTTCAAGTAGCCGAATTTCTGTCTATTTAAATAGGATTGACGGGTTTAAATTTTGGTGGAAGAACCTAACGAATTCGATAGAATTCGTTCTTGGATTTCTATTGAACTCCTATTGAAAATTTTATTAGTTTATGGGCCTTTACTGGACGTTTTTTTCAATAGAGAATGTCCAATAGAAAGTGCTTTATGTAAAAAATCAGTAGGATTTCATATTTCTATACAACTTTCTCTCTTAAGGGGAGACGGAACCCCTTTGTCTACATCAAATCTTAAAATTGTGTTTTCTCCTGCAATTATCAATTTCTATATACGAAATTACTTTATCGACTCGATTATCGTATTGTTGAGTCAATGAAGTAGTTTAATGAATAAAAAATAATAATTGCAGGAAAAAACACAATTCTAAAGATTCATATAAACGCAGCGGTTCCGTTTCCCCTTAAAACGTTTTCTATAGAAATTCCTCGACACGATTGTTCAAAGTTTATTTCACTGTAGTTTTTGTAATTTTTTTATTAAAGAAATCAGAAAGGAGAAAGGAGAAAACTACGAAAATTCGAGCCGAGGAATTTCTGTAAAAAATATCGCAATAGAATAAGTTTCGAAAACGTATCGAAAAATCGAATTCTATTGTTTTTTTCTAAAGAATGTTCTCCTTTGAGCATTTATGGGGAGACTAGTGTGAGTTTTAAAAGTCGTGGGTTATTAGAGTGAGACTTTTCATATATTGAAGGTCGATTATATAGATCTAAAAACGTGTGATTATTGCAAAAAAAATTTTTTTTATTGTCCGTTTGCCCGAAAACGCTTAAAATGCTAAAAACAGTCCAGGGCCTCCAATTTTTGAGCTACAAAAGATTTTTTTTCAAAATTTTCGGAAAAATGTGTGGAACAACAGTTACGAGCCAGTTTTTTTGGAATTCGACTCCTACACAGCTGATTTCTTTTTTTTTCACATGAAAAAATTCACTATTTGTGTAAAAAAATACAAAAACAGCAAATATAGCCGTGGAAGAGGTGCATTTAAAAAAACTAACTCGTAATTGTTATTCCACATATTTTTCCGAAAATTTTGAAAAAAAATCATTCGTAGCTCAAAAATTAGAGGCCCTGGACTGTTTTTGGCATTTTAAGCGTATTCAGGCAAACGAACAATAAAAAAATTTTTTTTTGCACTAATTATTCGTTTTCAGATATATATAATCGATCTTCAACGTATGAAAAGTCTCACTAATAACCCACCACTTTTAAAAATCACAGTAATCTCCCCTTATGTGAGAAAACATGGAGATAAGCTGCGGAATTTCGTCAGGAATCCAATAGAATTTTCTAGCGAATTCGCTAGATTGATCTACTACATTTGTTCTTTCCTGATTAATTACCTTCATTTTCATTGAATAATTGAAAATAGAAGCAAAAATTCATTCATTGGCGCGGAGAACATCCCGACAAATATCCTGATGAATATTCCGATGAATATCCCTAGTTCTTCGTATATATAATTTAAACTCCAGGTACTTTCTGAGTCACTTGTAGAGAGTGATAAATTCGCAATCTACTAAAGACGCAAAATTCGGATCATAGAAACGATTTCCAAAATCTCAAGTATGTTTTCCAGGAGAATTTTAGAGATATGCATCGTCAAACATTCTATTTTTGTGTTTTTTCAATTTTTGACGATACATCGGGTGGGCTGGGGTAAAATGGATACTTGCGACTTTTTAAAAATATTCATAACTCGAAAACAGCTATATCAATTGATCTCAGTCTTGATTTATGACACAGGAGAGGAATTGTGCTTTCCATTGAAGAATAAATTGCTCAATTTCATCAACAATTCAATAAGTCATCAACATTTAAAAAAAGTCAGAAGTTCAATTACGATTTTCCAAATTTCAAGTATTTTTTCCGACGTCAATTTTTGAGATAGGGGAGGGTGGGCTAAATGGGCATTCCCCTATCTTAAAAATTGGCTTTGAAAAAATGCTTGAAATTTGGAAAATCGTTTTTGAATGTGTCCAACAACATGTGAACCAAATTCGGGTCTTTAGTACCTCGCGAAATTTTAATCATCAACACTGAGAAATAAAATTACTTTTGCTAAGTAAATTTACTAACTACAAGAAAATCCACACATTTCAAATGAAAATATTTATATACATTTACTTGTGGCAAGTGAATCGACTTGGCAGGAGTAATTTTTTTTCCCAGTGAATAAGTGACTGCAGAAGTACCTTAAAACCATTCAATCACTCAAGTTTATGCCCAACAGAAACCCTGGACTATCGGATATTGGCATCACAGTATTATACATGAAAATATCGTCGAATAAATGGTGGAAATTTGTGATGTAGTAGAAGGAGACGAGTCGCTTTTTTTGAAAATATTTCGTGGAGTAATGGGTTTTGGGGGAAATGCCGAGAGGGCTTATAGCATTGTGTAGGGGTGGATTAAGAAAAGTGGAAAGGTTGTCATGGAATCACACGGACGAAAAAATTTAATGGAAAAACCCATCGAATTCGTTAGAAAATTCTATTGAATTTCTATTTCTGTTGAATTTTTAAATTCTATTGAACTTCTTTTTGACTGATTCTATTGAAATGTTCAATAGAAAATATTCAGTAGAAAAAGTCAATAGAATTCAATTTTTCTATATAACTTATTCTATTGAAATATTTTTTATAGAATTTCCTCGGCTTAAATTTTCTGTTTTTTCGTTTGATTTTCTTGATGAGTAGAAAAGAAAAATGGAATGAAAAAATCTTAGAAAATTTGAGTCGAGCAAATTCTATAGAAAATATATGAAAAGAATAAGTTATATAGAAAAATCGAATTCTGTTGACAAAAACTAATAGAAAGCTCAATAGAAATCCTATATAATTCTCTAATATAGATTTTTCTATTAAATTTTTTAATCCGGGATATTATCTGATCATTTTTGCTAGATCCGATGGGGTTGGAGATATTTTGAAAAAATGAGATGGAGGAAAAAGTTGATTAAAAATTGTTAAAAATATGAAAAATGAAAAAAAATGTCTCGAATCTTTCCGCAACTACTGATTTTGAAGAAAATTATTGAAGGCATCTTTTGTGGGGAATTTAAACATACAGAAGAAAAGATGTAATGACATGTTTCCCTGAGCTCGCGCATTTCCGAGATTATGTGAATAATCTATTTTCCAAATTTGGAAACAAAGCTATTTTTAGTTTTGTGATTGAGCTGTTGTATTTTTTCTTTTCATTACTGAGTATCAAAATTTATTGAAAAATCACATACGTATTTTTTCCATTTTAAAGAAAGATGAAAAACCAAAAAATTATTGGAGATAGAGAACGTCCCTATGACGTCACGAAGACGTTTTTCATCAGATTTGGTTGATGAATATTTTAAATTCCTGAAATAGAAAATTTAACGAAAAATATTAAACACGTATTTTTGTCATTTCGATAAACAATGATAAATTAAAAAATGATGATAATTGAGTAGGCGATGGAGAACGTCTGCATTATGACGTCATAAAACAGCCGTTTTTATTTCAAAAGCCCGTAATTTCTTCATCTTCTATCATTTTCAAAATCCGAAAATACGTATCCAATATTTTTCCTCCCATTTTCGTATTTCACCATTTTATTAAACGAAAAAATTATGTAACACCGAGTGATCTCAGTAACGAGGGATTTTTCGCGAAAAAGGCTCGAGACATTTAACGGGCTCTGACATTCCCCTGTAACCCTCTCCCTCCCGAAGATATTTAAAAAATAATCTGGAAAAAAATTGACCTTTCCTATTTTTCACTCCTTCCCAACTGAAATACTAATAACCTTGGTTTAACCGGTGTGCGCATTTATTCTCCGCAGGCCGACGGTCCTAAAGGTGTTGGTGGGAATAATGAAAATGTTCCTAGCGTCGCACCAAGGTTCAGCAATTCAAAAACCCCCAAAAAAATCCTAATGAAAAAAAAATCGAACAAAATGAACAAAACCATTGATAAGAGCATAATTGCGGTGTTGGGAGCGACCCGGGGGGGTCACCGCCACCGATCGCAGGATTCAACGATAACCAGCCAGTTCCGCATCCGAGTGGACGTCCAGGGCCGCCGAGAAATGAGAAAAATAAGAAATTACCGTATAATTATAATTTATAATTAATTAAGCCAAATTGAGAGGTGGATTGATCTACTTGACGTATACGCTCGTCAGCAAGTGAATGTTGTCACTTCTTGGCCTACCGTAAACGTGCCAGATTAATTATGTAGTGAGGATAGCGAAGGGAGAGTGAACCGGGAAATTTCGGGTGGATTATTCAGCGAATATCCCGTGATCTAGTGAGTTTGGAGGAAAATCTGAACGCTGTGTGTAAAGTGATATTTTACGCACGATCTGCGCGCGCAAATCCTCACTTTCTGCACATTGTGATGAAATAGTATATTGTGTTACTATAGTGCGTAAAGTTCCACTTTTTCACACGCACGTGTAACACATCCTATTTTTTGTGGTACACGGAGAGAAATTTTCTAGAAAAATTCTGGTACGAGTACTGGAAAAAATTGCAATCCACCGGCTGTGAAAAATTC